AACCAATTTTTTAAGCCCATCTCTCTCTCTCTATATATCGTCACAAATATATATATATATATATATATATATATATATATATATATATGTATGTACATATTATATATAAATATATATTTTGGTGGGGGAGCTCAGGGCCGACCTGTGCAGGCGGCGCGCGCGCCCCGATCTCTGGCGCGTGGCTCCACCTGGCTGCACGCAAGCTCGGCCGCGGCCGGCCGAGGGTGCCACATAGGCGTTGGGCCTCTCGGCCGTCGGCGCGATATCCTCGTAGGGGTACCCAATAAGTTAAGGAAACAAAATCAAATAAGTGGCCTAGTTTTCCCATTCCGCGGCCACGCACCCAATGCGGCCATTGCTTTTAGTCGTTTACGTCCTGAATCGTGCGGCTGGTCCTTATTTTAAGTAGGATAGGTTTAAAGTCAGCATTTCAATGGCCACACGACCCTGCTGCTTCGCTAAGCAAAGCACAACCGGTCACACCGCCAGTCATCACCTATCACCATCGGATGTCGGCTACCGTCCAGACTCGGTTCAATAGATTTTGCGAGGCACTCTGGTCATGCGTCAGGTTTGAATAAACTGTCGACATATGACTCGATCTCATCAAGTCGTTTATTTTCAAACTTCTCTTTTAAAGGTCCAACGGCGCCTGATAGAGGATAGGCTAGCAGATACCCTTGTAAGGGTTTCTGCTCCGACACAGGCTGCCGCATGTCCAGCACTTAAACCCAGCGATCGTCACCCCGTCCACTGAACTACTGCTCAGATTCGCCTCGATCCTGCACTCCATTGCAGCGATCTAACACGCAATCCCGCAAAGCTGCAGCTAACTCGTCAGGGCTTTCCGAAACGCTGATTACCAACTCATCTAGCCACCACTCCAGAGTTAGCCCGATGTATTGCAGGAGAGAGAGAGAGAGAGAGAGAGAGAGAGAGAGAGAGAGAGAGAGAGAGAGAGAGAGAGAGAGAGAGAGAGAGAGAGAGAGAGAGAGAGAGAGAGAGAGAGAGAGAGAGAGAGAGAGAGAGAGAGCAACACGCTTGTGAGATTTATAGTTGTGGAGAAGAGGGAGAGGACAGAGAGAGCGGGGATGGTAGAAAGAGGAGTAGAGAAGGGGAGACACACTCGGGAGGGCCATGTCAATCCACGTGAAGTACTTTGTAGCCAATCAGATCGCCGCGTGACGTCTTCAGAGCCTCTTTACATGTTGCCATCTGATTTCGAGGAGTAATGAGGAGAGGAAGATCGGTGGGGCCTTCCTGTGTGTAGTAGAGGGTGGGAAGGGAGGTTACGAAAGACACAGCAAGAGCAAGATTCAACGAAAGTGAGGAGGAAGAAGAGCACAAAGAGAAGGGAAAAAAGACAGTTACAACTTAGCGCTTTTTTTTTTTTTTTTTTTTTTTTTTTTTTTGGAGCAATGCTCCAATCTATTCGTGGGGAGCCGCACGTGCTGGGAACTGGGCGCAGCGTCCCAACTTAGCGCTAATGGTGTGAGGAACAAGATTGGAGAAGCGAGAGAAGATTGCCTTGCGGAAATATGACGCAAAAAGAATCACTCGCGTGAAATAAAAAAGGCACCAAACCAGTTACACGAAATACCACTGAGGCTTTAACAGGCAACAACTTCCCAAAGACTCTGTCCTCCTTTTTACTTCTCCTCATCGGGAGACAGCTGTACCATATATGTTTTTCTCTCTCAATTTTAACTGGCTTCTGCCATGTCATGGAACACATCTTTTTCATCTTTTTCCTACCTACCTACAACCTCCCCTTGAGGCTTTAACAGGGGGAACACATCTTTTTCATCTTTTTCATACCTACCTACAACTGCTCCTGAGGCTTTAACAGGGGACCCTGTAAACATAGCTATCTACCTCTCTTCAGTGAAGGGAGGTTACCTCTCTCGGTAGAGGGAGGTAATTGGATGTTTTCCCCTTGCCCTAGTGGTTTAGGGTGCAGGGTTGGGCCCGCCGCTGGGGGTCCGGCTAACACAAGGACCTAGCATTGCCAGCGACCATGCCTCCGTTTTCATCGTCCCCCACCCCCATCGAGTAACAGCAGTGTCTAAACCTAACACTCCCCCCCACACCACAGGCAACCCACCATACTGGCTGAACACCCTGCTGATACCGACCGGGAGGATCCAGCTAACTATCTCAGTTGGTTTGCACCCAGCGTGCCGCAGGTGGCCATGGGGATATAACCCGTGACCTCCTGAATGCCTCTTGCGTGCCCTTTCCCCCCCCCCTCTTCTTTTAAAAGCCCAGGATGTTGTAGAGGCCAAGGACCAGACTCGCGGTGATTGCTGGCAGCGACAGCCAATGGTTGTCCTGACAGTATAGGCCACCCACCCTACCCATCCCCATGTTAATACTCCCAGCGCACCCTTTGTCCCTGCCTCCACCTATTTGAATTGTTGTTAAAAAAAAAAAAACAGAAGAGAGAGGATAGCTCAAAGCTGTTGCCCGTTATATTTTCGGCGGGGGCTTGTTATGTTTCGGCGGGGGCTTGTTAGAGCGTATTGTGGTCGAGGAGTAGGTTATGCCACGGTAGTCGAGACAAAGTCCCATTTTTCCCGTTCCTTTTTTTCTTTTTTTTTAATCCTTTTAAAAGCCCAGGTTGTTGTAGAGGTGGGATACTAGACAGATGACAGATGACAGTCACCCACCATAATCGACCATTTGGTTGTCCAGATGAACCCCTCTAAGGACCCCTTTTATCTTTGCGTTATGGGAATTCTGTTGAGAATTTCTTGTTGGTAGTTGGAGCTAACTTCAGGTTTTTGACCCGTCGCTGTCTTTCACTAGAAAACCTTTTTTTTTTTTTTTTTTGAAAAGCATTCCACAATTTTATTACCAAGAATCAGTCGAGGCCGGACCTCACAATTCTACCTGAAGGCTGGGACATTTACCCAGTTTCGGCTCATGCTCGAAAACAGGTCCGGCGTCCCCACACTAGTTCTCCATCCTGCAGCTTCCCAAAAAACATGTACTTAAAGCACCAGGCAACCACAGTTTAGGAAAAAGTTGCTCAGTTTATTTTTCTGCATAACATAATGTTTTTTGCAGGTTTTTTGGATTGCCTCTTTTCTTTTTTTTTTTTTGCTGGGACCTGCTTTGATCCTTGCACGGCCGGTCCGCCCAGGCAAACACACTGATGGTTAATAGGTGGTGTCATTTTCGGCGAATTTTTCACCGAAAATGCCATATTTCCCTGAATTTTTGCTTTTTGGAAGTTTCTCTTTTTTTTTTTTTTTTTTTTTTTTTTTTAAGGTGATATGTATCTGCTTTAGGGTACACCTGGAGCATGGTCCCACTAGCCACGGAAATTGGATTAAGATCCTGAATCTGGGCGTGTTTTAGCCGGAGATTCAGAAAAGGACTTCCATCTCGATTCTCTGCACCTGTCCACAAACGCGGCCAAATTAAGGCGTTCAATCCAATCCTCTTTGCCAGTGGGACATCGCCCCTGTATTCAGTTTCGACCTATTTGGGCCAGTACAAAAAAGTTGGCAAAAACACCAAATTCGGGGGGGGATGGGAGGGGGAGGGAATTGACGAACTTCGAGACCTACTCCTAGTAGGGTTTTATAGTGCTTTTGAGTTGTTCTTTTTTCTTTTTCCGTTTTTGTTTTTGCCTGTTTGTTTTTTTGATGTTTGTATTATGCGCCTGCATTGTTTGTTCGCAAAATTTTCGATGACATTGCTCTTGGTGATGCAGCGAACCCCCCTGAATTTTAGGCCTTCCATTAACCATCTCTCAGGCAAACAAGGTGACCCGGGTGGCTCGGCTGGTAGCCTAGTCCATAACTTTCAAAAAAAAAAAAGAAAAAAAAGAAAACCGGCTTCATTCGAGTCTGACGACGGCGTGCATCTTTTCCAGGAGGAGGGACACAGTTGCAAGAAAGCAGGGAAGAAAATGCTACATTCTTTTTGCAGCCAAAAAAAAAAAAAAAAAAAACCAAAACGAAAACCCATACAGAAACCCATATTTGGGACTAGGCTAAGCACCGAACAGCAAACTGGGCAGGTACAGTATTGACTGAAATGCTACATTATTTTTGCAGCCCCCCCCCAAAAAAAAACAAAACCCATACAAAAACCGAGGCACATTCATCTATACGGCCGGGAAGGCCATCAAGTATCCTTCAGCCACCTGCAAACACCCGCCATCTCCTCCCCTTCCCCCCCCCCCCCCCCCCCCCCCCCCCCCCCCCCCCCCCCCCCCCCCCCCCCCCCCCCCCCCCCCCCCCCACAAAGACAAATGAATAAAACAATAAAAACACCGCGTACATTTCAGAACAGAACAGTGAAAACACACACCTTCACACATGCGGTCGGGAAGCTACCTGCACCCCCCCCTCCCCCCCCGTCTCCTCAACCTCGACTCCTCACCTTTCTTCCCCGCAACCGATTCTCCCTCCCCTTCCCTCAGACTTGCGTGTGAGCGGTGTGAGCGAAGTTGCAAACGGCTCCAAGGAGATTCGATGACAGAACAATGGCTGCCAATCTACAAGCAATTTTACAGATTTGAACACGTGACCTTCGTGTGATTTGAGATGAACTGGCTCACCAGGCCTCACCTCAACTCGATTTGGAATTTTTAAATCGATTGTCTCAATTAAGACCGGCTCACCTCAGCTCAGCGCGTACTCACACTAGTAGCACTATCTCAAATGTATCTGACCACATTCAAGGCCAGGCCTGGATGTACCTGACTGCAGTTACGTCCAGAAATAAGCGAAAAAGTCCCAATGTGCGAATGCCCTCGGAAACTATCTAGAAGAACGGAAAACATTAAAAAAAAAAAAAAAAAAAACTACTAAGAAGTACTAAGAACTGGTAAGGAGCTAATAATCTCGAAGGAGGGAAAGACATCAAATGCCTTAGAAACGATCTAGAACGTGGAAAAAAAAAAAAAAAAAAAAAAAAAAGAAGCGAAAACGTAGCATAGAGTCTCGCCGCGCGATGTCGAACCTCTGCGAACTGCGCTTTAAAAAGATTGCAAAACTGTTTTGTTCATGTTGTTGACGATCGATTTCCACTCTAGAAGCGGAACTCCTCCCGTCAAACAAATCTTCCCTCAAGATTCTATTCCCGTCCACGTGGAATCTCACTAAGTCTTCATACTCACATGTGCACTTTCTCGATGGAATCTGGCTGCAATTGCTGTCTGGAATCACTAAGTCGTCATACTCACATCTGCACTTTCTCGATGGAATGCTGCAATTGCTGTCAGATGCATCTCAGGACATCCTAGTGTGAGTATGCCCTGACGCCCAACGAACCTTGTCGACGACATAGGGGTTGGGGCTACACTGTGAAATCCTACTTTGCTCTGCAAAACTGGCCCCAGAAAAACCACGGCGACCCGACCTAGACTGAGTAAAAACCAACACCGCCGTCTCCCGCCCCCTCCTAATCACCGCCTCTCCCTTCTGATAGTCGTTGAAATATTTCAAGAACGAACCCTCATACATACATACAGCAGGTGTCCAGGTACTATGTATGATCCAATCATCTGTATGATCCCATCGCCTCCGCATGCCTCTTTCTAACAATCTCAGCCAAACTCCAGCTCGCCAACAGACGTTCTACGGAAGCCCTTTAGAACTATGGGACAGAGAACAGGACCAGCGATCATACTCCAAGCAAGACAGATCGTTGTCCGTCCTCTCATCTTTGGCGTGGACAGAATTCCCCCTCACACCGCGATGAGGGCAAAAAATTTCCCATCACACCGCGATGCCACACACCTCCAGATCCCAACTACCTCAGAAGATTGGTCAGAAGTAAATACCACATTTGTGCACCTCTGTGCCATTCTGTCCCCTCTCCATAGCACCTCCTCTTCTCTCTCTCTCTCTCTCTCTCTCTCTCTCTCTCTCTCTCTCTCTTCTTGTGCCCTGCTTAATCTTTCTCTGCATTTTTTTTTCTGGTGCTCCAACACCTTTTTCTTCCCCTGGCTGCCCCTTTTGCTTCCACTTTCAAACCCTCCTCACGCACGATACCGCTTCTTCCTCTTTGTTTTGGCCCTACTTCATCTCTCTCTACGTTTCTCTGGCGCTCAAGCACCCTTTTCTCCTGCTGTTCTTTTCGGTTTTTTGCCTGTGGCCCAAACACAGAGATGTGACTAATCGTCAGCTTTTCTGCGCCTTTTACCCCCCCCACCCTCCCTACCTGCTTCTTTTGCCTTCTCTTTCAAACCCTCCTCACGGTACCGCTTCTTCCTCTCCGATTTTGCGATCTGCTTGCGCACTGCTTCATCTTTCTCCGTCTTTTTCTGGTGCTCAAGCACCTTTTTCTTGTGCTGCTCTTTCCGCTTCTTAGCCTGCTCCACAAAACCACAGAAGTTTGGCACAGAAACAGCAAGATTACGAGGAAGAGGACAAACAGGAGGAAGACGAGAACACGAAGAAACGAAAAAAAACAAGGAATGAGAAAGAGAAGAAGAACAGAACAAAAGGTGGTGAGTGGTGTTCAATGTTGGAACTTGGTAGTTGATTGGCGAAAAATTGAGCAAGATACGGACGCCAGATGTCGACCTCCTCAAGTGGCTCCACAGAAGCTTTTACCAATAATGTCAGCCATGACTGGCAAATGGACAAACAGAGAAGATTAAGAGGGTTTTGCGGCCTGACCAATTGATTTGGTTCCCCCTCCC